TAAAATAAATAGAATAGATAGAAAAAAATATTATGTATAACTTTTTAGATGTATATAGTGCTTTTCTTTAGTGTTACAAAGTGCTTTACATAGACTAAAATGCAGCCAAAAGGGACAGATACAAAAATATGACTGTACAGAGCAAAAACTGGAGGGTTAAAATTTCAGGATAAAATATTTTGAAGTTTTTTGTAACGCAAAATGTGTTATTTCAACTATTTGAAAGTTAAATGGGGGTTCGAGTTGGGGTTATTTGTTCATAGTTGATATGTTTGAAGTCAATTCAACTTCCACTAGTGTTAATTCAACTTCCCTTAGTGTTCATTTGTGAGCGAAGACCAGTTTGAGCCAGTTTTGTGCATAATTTCATCTTAAATTGACTAAAATAAAGTGTAAAATAAAACATTTCTGTGTCTTGTTTAGCTAAATCAGGATAACTCTACAAAGTGTTATCCGTTTACTCTCAAAACGTTAATTTAACTCTTGATTTCGGGGTTATACAGATGGTCCAGTGTTACTTAATTAACATTTCCAAAAATATTAAATTAACTCTAGAACAGATTGGACTCATATTAACCCTGAGAAAATGTGAAAATTTATTCTGTGAGTCTATTTTAACACTAAATTTTTTGCTGTGTACAACTTAGATTTGAAATTCAGAAAAAACAAAGCTATTTCCCCTCTATGAGAAGGGTCTGGTCTGAAAAAAACTGGATATTAATTTTGGGAAACGCTTTGATGGTAATGCATATAAGGATTGTGAAAATATGCATTAAATGTTTATTGTTACTCGTATATTGTTAGATTTATTTAGTTAGGACCATTATTATTATTATTATTATTATTATTATTATTATTTTTATTATTATTATTATTATTATTATTATTATTTTATTTTATTTTTTTTATGTGATTTTTCTGGAGGTGAGTCTGGCCGCTATTATTGCTTTCTTGGAATGTTCCACAGTACGGCATTGCACTATAGTTAGAGACACAAGCAAATGAAACCACTATGTTATAGGTCAGGTCTGTGGAGAGGCAACATCTCTCACAGTAAAAAGCCATGTTTTATTTGTATTTATTTCATTTTTGTTTGTCTAAGTTTATTTTTTATGTTGTCTTTTTATAGTTATTTTTCAATTCTTTTCTTTTTCTGACAGCGTAATTTAGTTATAGTAAGGTAACATACACTTAAATACTGTACGTATTTCACAAACTACTATTACTATTACTACTACTACTACTTCTATCTGCTCCTTATCCCATTACACAAACCCACAAACACAAACAGAAGTGCAAATCCAGCCTGCCTGTTTGCTGTTTGGGTTCTTGGTTAAGTCGTGGGCGGGTTTGTGGACACTGGTTTCGAGTCTGCAAGCGTTTTCCCCCTCACAGAAGCTCCACGTACCCCACCCACCACCCACCACACTCACTCACCCACCACCCACCACCCACCTCATCTACCCCCTCCTCCTTCTCCTCCTCCCTCTTCCATCCAAAAAACCATGTGACTCCTGGTTCCACTTACACTCTCCATGCATAAAGATAGGCCCATAACCGCATACACATGTTCACTGGCTCTTAACTAATTCATTCAGGAACACTTTGGGTTTGAAAAAAAAAAAAAAAAAAAAAAAAAAAATCACACACCCCCAAAAAAATTCCCCACGCTTCTCGCTGATTGAGAAAGTGTCTGACTGCAATTATAGGAACAAATCAGAACGGAAACGCGCTACACTGGTTTAATAGTTTGCAAGCATGACATTTTTTCACTTTTTTTTTTAAACGGAAAAGCGTGCAAAAATGACTCGTGAGCTTTTAGACGTGTTAGAAAGTTGTTACCTCCTCGAAAACCTGCTTTGAGTTGTGTTTTGTTTCATTCTTTCGGTCTGTCTGCGTCCCCAAAGCTCAAAATGCTCGGTTCCACTTTGTGATGTCATGAAGTAGAAGTTTTTGTTCGGCAATTTCAGGGTTGAAATTATCCAAACGATTCTAGTGAAAGTGTATAAAGTTTGAAAACACAACGGAGCACTTGCTGTTTTACATGACATCACAAAGTAGAACCGAAATTACCAAAATGTAACTTTTCCTTTTGGTGCGTCCGCCAGATACTTGTCTCCACGGAAATGTTATTGTGTTCTCGAAAAGCCCCACAGTACGGCATTAAACTAGCCTATAAGCACAAAAAAGTTACACTGTAAACCTGAAAGTTCAAAGTAATTAAAAAGATTAAGTTGTGCATACTCAAAGTTTTAGAAATAGTCCTACTAACTTAATTATATCAAGTTGCTGTAACATGTTTTTTTGAGTAATTTTAACTAATATGTTTTTATTAAACGGAATAATTGTGGGTGTAAGTGAGCGTTAACTTAAAACCATAGATGATAGGGATGTAACAATAACCGAAATATCGTGATATCGTATCGTCAAAGTTCTCACAATATATCGAATTTCAAGTCTCTTTGCTGAAATGAAGAGTTATGGTGAAGCAAAGACATGGGAACTACATAGACCATGATCCTTTGCTCCATTTCAGTGCAGACTACAAGAAGAAATAACAGTTCTAAGCACTTTTAAGTCTTAGTTCTCCGGATTAAATCTCGTGAAGACATTTTAAAAGGAAAAAGTCGCATATTAACCATCGTACCGTGAGATGTACATCGTGAAAATATCGTATCGAGAGATTTGGATATTGTTACATCCCTAATCGTGAGCCTCCCCACCATATCCTGAGCTTACCCCTGATATCGCAATAAATATCGTATCGGGAGGTTCATACCGTGAGACTTGGATATCGATACACCCCTTACAGATGAGGTACAACTCAGTAGAATTAGGTAGTCAAAAAATAATCTCTAAAGTCTGTATAATGTACTACTGTATGTGTATACTATAAACTAAAATGAAACTAAAATATCCATAAATTCAAGTTGTTATATAAACATATGGTCTGGTCACAGTATATAGAGAGTGGGTCATAATATTAGAACAATATCCTTCTGTAGCGCAGGTTTATGTTTGTTGTTTTCCTACTATTGCTGCTCTGTGCCGTCCATTACTTTCCTTGTATCTGTTGTCTGTTTCCATTGTTGGTTTGCTTATTTTATACGACGAAGCCATAACAGTGACTCTTTGTCCACACTTGTAAATAGTTCATATGCAAAATGTCTGAAAAATGCAAAAAAAAAAAGCTCATTGTGTTAGTTTTATGTTCATCAACTTAAAATAATTGTGGCAATAGATGTCCTCAATTTTTTTTTAAGGTCTGGTAACTTATTCGGGTTTACAGTGTATGGGTCAGATCTGTGGAAAGGCGACATCGCTCACATTAAGAAAAAGAAGGTATGTTTATCAAGTAATTTTTTTTCAAGGCGTCGCTGATCGAGAAAGTGTCTGCAAATATCGGAAAAAATCTGAAAGGAAACGCACCACGCCGGTTTAATAGTTCGCAAGCATGACATTTTCGCACTTTTTTTAAAAAATGGAAAGACACGGTGTTGACAAGCTGAGGAGAAAGGGTGAGCAGAAGTGAGAGAAAACAGTTCGTAAAGTGGTGTACATTGTCATCGCAGTTGTCTCGGATCGTTGGGCGTTCAAACGACTGCGCGGAAATTTGTCCAAACAGATTTTAGGTGAAAGTGGTGGCAATAGTCACTTTGTGGTATTGCGTGCACTCTGAGAAATGGTCTGACAATTGAGGCAAACTGGAACATTTTTGTGGGAAAGCTCTGCTAATATCAGGTTTTTGGGTTTGGGACCTCTGCGCTGTGCGGCCGATCTCTGAGTGGCGTTTTTTGATTCGCTTTTTGTGGGTGGTGGAAAAGGCAAAAAGCAGGTCAGTGCAGTAACATTTGGTTTTGTAATATACACTAGACAATCTTTTTGGTTTAGTCCCAGTTTAGTGGCGGTATAGACCTGGATTGGTCTTCTTCTAGTCCTGGTTTAGTCCCAGATTTGAGAGCCTTCATTTCATCACGAGTTGGGCCCAGTTTAAGTCTTAACATAGTTTATTCAGCCTCATTCTAGTCCTGGTTTAGTCCTCATAGAGTCAGGTCTGGTGACATGATGGCTGGAGCACGCGCACTTCACGTAAAGAAGATTTCAGGGTCGAGTTTAGTCCCAAATTGGCCTCTGTAATCCCAGGTTTGATGAGGTGATTGTGCAAATGTGAGCGCACACCTCTAGTCTTGGTGTAGTCAGGTTAGGGATGCACCAGTCCAACTTTTTCAGTTCTGATACCGGTTTTGAAACTTTCACTTTAAGTATTGACCAATAACAACCCACATCCATGCAACAGACGGAAAAAATAGACAATAAAAATCAGACAATACCATTCCAAACATGTGGTGTAGCTGTATTTATCCATGTCAACTACAGAGCAAATTTGTATGAATAGAAGTTCAAACATTCAGAGACTTTCTGGTAGCCTGATTCATCAGCCAGTTTTACTTCGTTTCACTTTGTACAAACCGTTTGACCTTAGATTTCGTTCGCTCGACAGTGGGCAGGTACTTTTTATCATTTAACCAATCGCTGCTATTTGGTCGTGACGTATGTAATGCGGCGCTAACGGGGCTGACTGGTATATTAAGCTTTTCACAAATCCCATAGGAAGAAGGGCAATAACGTCTAATTTCTCCTTGATGAAATTCACCAAACATTCTCTTTGTTCCGGCTTTAAATCCTCGATCTCGGGAATCGTTGACAACACTGACTATATGGCTCTTCGCTGATTGGCTGGTGCTTGAACGTGCACTTGCGGGGTTTTTGCGAACCGTCTAGTGTATTCTGATTCCTGACCTAGTTGCTGGACTTTCTGGGCCAACTACGCCCGATAAATAGTCTCATTACATCGATTTATAAGTCAAACCTGGATATCTACCAGACCGATATTTGAATGCCGATATCCCAATGAGCAATTTTTTTCAGTATCAGCTCCAATATTCAATACCAGAATCAGAAAGGTGCATCCCTAGTCCTGGTCACGTCCAAGTTAAGCCTCACATTTTTGATACGGTGTGTGTTCGTGTGTGTTTGTGTGTAAGTACAAAAGCCCCTTCTCCATGACGTGTCCACTGTGCGCTGACCTGCAGGATGTAGCCCCTCACGTAGTCTCGGAGCGTCCAGCCCAGCCCGTGGAGGATGTGGAGCACCTCTTCCTGCTTGAGCACAGAGAAGAGCCGGTCCAGTAGAATCTTCAGCCTCACCGGTACAGCCTGGGTCCCGTAGAGCATGAGGCTGCTGATGTCAAACACCACGTTGGACTGCACGATCTCCACCTGGGTGGGGTGGTACAGGTGCTGGGTGCTCAACTTGTCCAGGGCTGTGGAAATAAAGGCAGAAAAACACACAATTAAACGTCTATATTCTTTAAAATTTACTTTGGTGAGACTTTAGCCAAGTTAAAATATTGTTACCTCCTCAAAAACATGCCTTGAGTTGTGTTTTGTTTCATTCACACATGTTTGAGTATCACTTTATTATTAGTCTGTTTATATCCCCAAAGCTCAGAATGCTCTTTTCCACCTTGTGATGTCATGAAGTGGTCGTGTTCATGTTATCACCTTTTACCTTTTGTTAAATAGAGATGGACAGCTAAAATGCTTCACTTGACTTGGACTTACTAACTTTTCTCGTGATGAATCTGCGAACTACTTTTCTTGATCGAGTTGCTATTCTGTTCTTGTAATGTCCCACAGTATGGCATTAAACTGGGCTATAGACTCGAGGAAGTGACACCGCTTTGCCAAGTTATAGGTCAGATCCGTGGAGAGTACGGATGTAACGATAACCAAATTTTTCTGTACAATATTTTCACCACACGCATCTATTTATTGCAATATTTTGTAAAGGCAAACAAAATTGTGAATATACTACTTTTTTCTTTTAAAAATGCCTTATCAAGCCTTTGGTTTTGTCCTAAACTAAAGAGTTAAGATTTAAATGTGTTTAATAAAGTATTTCATTGTGTAAATTGGACTAAAACAGAGCAAAGGATCATGGTCTATGTAGTTTCTTGTGATTCTTTTAGCTGTTGCTGCACCATAACAAAGAAATGACACAAAAACACTTGAGATTCGATATATTGTGATGGTCCATGATAATATTGAGAGACTTTTGACGATACGATATCACGATATTTCGGTTATTGTTACATCCCTAGTGAAGAGTCAACATTGCTCAGAGTAAGAAGATATGTTTTTTCAACTTTTTGAAATAAAAACCTCTGTAATTGAATTGAAATGTGAGATAGAAATATTTAATACCAGACTGTGGAATATTCTAGACAACGCAATAACAACTCCATGGAGAAAAGCAGGTGGTGGACCCGAACACCAGAGAAGTTATGGACTATGCACTTTTACCCAAAATACTTTAATATAAAAAGAAAACTAAATATATTTATTTAAGGACAACATATTTCATAATGATATTGGTGCTACATAAAAATTTTTTGTTAATTTTGTACGTATATATATATTTTTTATTGTATATTATTATTATTATTATTATTATTATTATTATTATTATTATTATTATTATTATTATTTATTATTTTTTATTTTTTTTTTATTTTTTTTTATTTATTTTGAACCAATATGGTAATAAAAACATTACAACATTGCGATAAAGGTCCAATAAACATTTTTCCTACAAAACAAAGGTGCTACATTTACTTTTTTTTTTGTTTTAATTTTATTGCATTCCTTTTTAATTTATTTTCCAAAGATCCAGATATTAAAAACACTCCCCTCTGACATTATCACCGATACAGTGTCCATTGCGAGTGCAGGACTATCAGGTTTCCCTCTGGTCTCACTCGTATCCTCAGAGGCTCCTGCTCAGTCAGCATTAGTGCATCATGACGTATCCACTCGATAAAAGCAATGACATTAATGTAATTTTGCCCCATTCCTTTTATTTAATCTAATCTGGAGCTGCTTCTCATTACTGCTGCCCTTGCATCTCCGTGTTTATTTGCTCCTCTATCTCCATCCTCGCCCTGAGCTGCAGTTAGCCACGAGATATGCTGTATTTTTAGGAGAATTTTACTTTTACTGTCAATTTTATGACCTGATTTCAACATTAAAACAACTTAAGTTTGAAGAGTTAGAAGTCTTCGAACAACATTTTACGGAGATTTTGCACTATGATCTTTTTTTCTTTGGGGTCTGTCACCTGCTTGTTGCTATGGAAATGTCACTGCTCTGCCTAGAATGTTCCACAGTATGACATTAAACATTTTCTTTACTTTTATTAAATTACAGGTGATTTTATAGCTCAAAAATGCCTAGAAAAACATGCATTCCGACTGTGAGCGGGGTCGCCTCTCCACAGATCTGACCTCTAACTTGATCCGGTTTGATAGAAGATAGAAAGGTTTAATGCCATACTGTGAAACATTCCAGATAAAACAATAATGTCTCCGTGGAGAAAAGCATTTGAGAGAGATTTGAGAGATATTTGACTATTCGAGATTTTTTTATTTATTTTATTTTCACGATCAGTCATAAGTTTGGACACATCTCCTCATTTAATGTTTTTTTTATTTATTTATTTATTTAATTAATTTTATTTTATTTTATTTTATTTTTATTTTTTTTTGCTTTCTCCATTTTATATAGATACAGAAGACTTCAAATATATGAAGCTAGATGTGTGGAATTATAAAGCAAAGAAAGAAACTTGGAAAACTCAACAAAACATTTTTCTATTTTACATTCAAATGCTCAGAGTTGTTTGTTCCTTTGTTCTGTGGACGGAGCTGAAACCCTTGGCCTTCCCTCAATGAGCTTTTTGATGAAGTCTCCTGAAATGGTCTTCACTTCACAGCTGTGTCTTGTCAGGGTCAAAAAATGCCAAAAGTGCAAATCAGGGTTCAAAGAAAAGGCTGGTTGTTTTTATGTTACATTCCGAGTGTGTCTGTTCATAGTTTTGATGCCTTCAGTGAGAATCTACAATGTAAATAATCATGGAAATAAAGAACTAAAAATGAAAAAGTGTGTTCAAACGTTTGACTTGCAGTAAAAAACTTCAGAATACACAGTCTATGGAGTCTATTAGTTATTATAATTGAAATTGACATTGAAAAGGAAGTTAAGGTGAAAGACGTCTCCCAGATGGGGCCAAAAGACAGTTTTTCCTTTTCATTGCACTGGACTCTGCCATGAAATATGCACAAAGTAAATGCAAAAATGTTGGACCTGATCATTTCTGTAACCGACTAGACTCAATACTTCTTGTACCAGTCGCGGTCTAGAGTTTTCTGCTTCAACCCTGCACCAGTGTAAACATAAGACAGAGGTGGGGACTTGCAAGTCGTGACTTGGACTCGAGTCAGACTTGGGTCACTGTTTTTAGGACTTGAGACTTGACTTGATAAAATGAATTAAGACTTGGGGCTTAACTTGGACTTGAGGCCTGTGACTTGAGAAGACTTGAGAAGCACTTTTAAATCTGAATTCTTTCTATTCTGACCATAATGAATTCACTCTAAGATCTTGTCAAGACATTTCAAAAAGGAAAAATGTACATTTCTACAACTCTTATCCACTCATTTACAACTCATATATAAATATACTCAGATTTTTTGTAAGTATCATTTATCTTAAAAGTCATAAATTGCAAAAATCTAAGCTATATTTGATACTTTGGTTTAAAGACTTGAAATGACTTGAAGCTCAAAGCAGACGACTCGGACTTGACTTGGACTTATGGGCCAGTGACACAAGACTCGACTTGGACTTGCCTGTGTTTGACTTGGGACTTGACTTGGACTTGAGGTCAAAGACTTGAGACTTACTTGAGACTTGCAAAAACAACGACTTGGTCCCACCTCTAACATAAGATACTGAATGTTGTAAATATGTAGATTGAATTTTTTTATTTGACTTTTATTTAACCGCTGAGATTAAGAAGGAGTCCTAGTCCCACTTTAGCAAAAAGTGCAAAAAACAAAATCTAGTCAAGTTAAGATGACTTGAATTAAGAAAGTTTTATCATGATTTGAGTAAATTTCACTTGACAAGTAAAATTATCTACCAGTGGAATTAGACTTTTTGTACTTGAGATATTATATAATACATCTTACTACACTTAAAATAAGAAAAACAACAACTTTTTGCACTTAAAATAAGAAACTAAATCGAATGTTGCTTGAATTAAGGAAAACACACTTATTCCATTGGTAGATCATTTTACTTGTCAAGTTGAATCTTCTCAGATCAAGTAAAATGTTCTCAATTTGAGTCATTTTAACTTACCTAGATATTGTTTTTTTTGTTATTTTTTTTCTACTGAGACCCTATTGTACATGTTTTAGTCCCTGAGGAAACTAAAACACGCAAACTCCACTCAGAAAGGCCAAAATGAAAAGTAACACTCTAATGTTCTCATTTTCATTACAGGTTATACAACAAAACTCCATAAAAAACGGGCATTACGGGTAAAGCTGTTTCTCATTGTGTTCCAAGGACCATTACAAGTGTGTTTCTTTTGTTCTGCGCCGCACCTGGTCCGTCCCCATTATACGGCATGTCCTGTCTTCCATCTCCATCCGCGGTTCCTCCCCCCCCCCCTCCCCGCTCTTCTCCTCCCCCCCTGCACGTCACCCTTGCTCCCCTGTCTGGGTGACACCTGCCCGGGTCCCGTTCCCCGTCTCTGATCCCTGCTGACGGGTGCCTCGCCTGACAACGCCGCTCGGAGCAGACACGAACATAATAAAAAATGAAGAAGTGCTTGTCAGAGTGGCTGCCAATGCCGACGTGAAACGGGGCGAGTTGGGGGGGGAGACGTGCGCCTGACAGTTCAGAGGGGGGAGATTAAAAACTGCTCAATGAGGTCCTGTGAGCTGTGGCCCGGCCTCATACGGACACAAGCCAAACAGGTGTTTTCTTTTATCTCTGCCCCTCCTCCTCCTCCTCCTCCTCTTCGGCTCTGTACTCTGCCTCTCCTCTTCTCTTTCTTCTTCTGCTGCTTCTTCTTGTAGCGTGTGAAAAAGTGCTAGGTGTGGTCCGGCCTCTCACTCCTCGCTGCTCCTGTTTCGAGTTGTTTTGATGTACGGTGCAAAACAAGACTTTAAAGGCAACCGTAAAAGCGTGATATCAAAACAAAAAAAAAATCTAGGTTTGGTTAACTGGGACGCTAGAGAAATACTACAACGAGAGGACGTTTTAGACTCATTTGGAGCTTCAAAAAGGTTTTACAAGTTTATCTTTTCATGAACTCAACCAGTTCTTCTTTGTATTTTGACTAATGATGGCCAGAGAAATAACTCCAATTGTTTCTAAGTACTTAAAGTTTTGGAGTAATTGTACTTTTTTCAGTAGAATTTTACACCTGTATTTGTAATTGAGTATAAATCTAACCATGTACTTGTCATTAGTTAGTTTAAATCAGGGGTTTTTAACCTTTGCAATCTTGGGCCCGATTTTTTTTCTGAGCAAAGTAACGTGGGGCCCTGTCTCATATTAAATGCATTATATTGTACTGATTGTGGGGCCCCCAAAGAGGTGGTTCCAGACCTATTTTGGGCCCCGGACCTATGGTTAAGAATCACTGGTTTAAATCACATGAGTTTCACTGTTTCTGCTTCTTTCTATACCAACATCAAGTGTGTGCAAAAATATTGAAATATCGATATATCGTCTCGTTTAATGTGATGATACAGTATTGATATCGTGGGCTTCTGTATCGATATATCACCAAGAGTATTTTTTTTGGTATATGTTACTAAATTATTTTGTTACAGCACTACAGTTTTGTCACTTGTTTAGAGGAAGGAAACTCATTTATGCGACACATTTGACATTTGAATTTAAATGAGATTTTATTCATGAAAAGCTCAATTTTTACTGTTTTGATGATTAAAATGTTTGTGTTTCATATTAACTTTGCACAAAAAGTGGTTTAACAAAGACTTTTAATATCACAGCCATGATTTAGCCTTTATTTCGTATCGAATCAGTTTGAAATATATCATATTGAATACTGAAAGTATTGAAAGTGTAATGTATCAAGGTATGTATCGTATCGTGGCCTATGTATCGAGGTATGTATCGTATCGGCAACCGCTTAATGATACCCAGCCCTAGCAACATCTCCTGCTCTGATTGGACAGAGTTAAGAGAAAATGCAGATTGATGGTTTGAAATAACTAAATTCAGCTTTAAACTGTTCCATTTCTATAAAATACTGAGCTAAAATGCTGCTAAAAACATTAAAAAGTGACCGATAAATAGTACTTAGAGTGGTATTTTTCATGTGGTACTTTTTACTTTTACTTAAGTGCTATTCGGGCAGCAGTATCTGGACTATACCAATTCTAAAACAAAACTAGAATCTATACTAGGGATGTAACAATATCAAAATCCTTTCCCTTGATACGATACTTTCACAATACGCATGTCACGGTTCGATATTTATTGCGATATTTTGTGGAGGAAACTAACAAAACAGTGAATTTTTCTTACTTCTTTCTTTTTAAAAGCCTTGGGGAAGCCTCGAAAAGCCTTTGGTTTTGTTATAACACGAAGAATTAAGACTTAAAAGTGCTTAGTAACAGTTATTTCTTCATGTAGTCTGCACTGACACAGCAAAGGATCATGGTCTATGTAGTTCCCTCTGTTTTATATCCATTGCTGCATCGTTGTAAGTCAAGGTAAGTTTATTTGTATTGCACAGTTCATACGCAAAGTAATTCAAAGTGCTTTACACAATAAGAAAGACATTAAAATCACCAAAACTTGTTATTCGTGAGACTTTTGACGATACGATATCACGATATTTCGTTTTTTGTTGCGTCCCGGATCTTTACATTTGAATGAAACCACGATTCAAAGTGAAGTGAACCAGGTCTTAACGGAAAACAAGCTGCAGTTTTAAAGCAGCATCTTTTTCATCGTAAATGAAATTAAACAAAGATTGAAACTACAGAATAAAGCACTAGAAGAAACGTGTGTATTAGAACTGCATTAAACCGCGGCTCAGATATCTTCATTTGGTCATAAAGTCCTAAACGCGTCTCGCCGGCTTCCCTCCGCCCGTACGTTACAATCTAAAATATTGTCTTTCCTTGTGTTAAAATGCTCCTGTCTCCCGACTATTTTAGATAAGCATAAAGACTTGATAAATCTTATTAAAATCCCCGCGTGGTCCGGACATATTGGCCCTGGAATCTCCTACGGCAAGCCGAGTGGAGCCGTGTTTACCTAACCACTGTTTCAACCCCAACTTTATTGTCCCCAAGAGGAGATCTGTCACTCGGCCAGGTGCAACCCCGAACAAGAACAAATACATTAAATCACATTCTCTCCTCTGCAAGAAAGGCCAACGTTTAGACTAAGAGAGAAAAGAGACAGAGACAGAGAGTAAAGACAGAGGAGAGACAGAAAGGGGTGAGAGAGATGGAGACGGCTCTGTGAGTGTGAGAGAGAAAGAGAGAGAGGGAGAAAAAGAGAGATGGAGGGGATGAGACAGAGAAAGGGTGTGAAGGGGAGAAAGAGAGAGAAGGTATGAGAGTGAGAAAGAGGGAGAAAAGAAGAGGGTGAGAGAGAGAGAAGGAGGGTCAGACAGAGAAAGCGTGTGAAGGGAAGAGAGAGAGAGAGAGACGGGGGGGTGAGACAGAGCGAGGGAAGGTATGAGAGTGTGAGAAAGAGAGAGCGAGAGAGAGAGAAAGAGAGGGGGTGAGACAGAGAAAGAGAGGGAGGGCAAGAGAGTGAAGGTATGAGGGTGAGAGAGAGAGAGAAGGGGTGAGAAAGAGAGGGAGAGAGACAAAGCAAGAGAGAGGAGGTGAAACAGAAAGAGAGAAAGAAGGGGGTGAAACAGAGCGAGAGACAGAGAGGGGGGGGCAAGAGAGAAAAGGTATGATGGTGAGAGAAAGAGGACAGGGTGAGAAAGAGAGAGGGAGAGAGAGAAGGGTGAAAGGGTTTGAAAGAAAGGGGGTAAAAGAAACAGAGAGAGAAGCAGAGGGAGGAAAATGGAGAGGTTAGGGGACAGAGAATGAGAGAGTGTGAGAGGGAGAGTTAGAGAGAGGGTTAAATAAAGAGGCGGGGGGACGAAGAGAGAGGGTGAGAGACAGGGTGGAAGAGAGAGAGAGAGAAGGGTGAAAGGGTATGAAAGAAAGAGGGTTAGAGAGACAGAGGCAGTGCGAGTGAAAGAGAGAGAGGAAAATGGAGGGGACAGAGGATGAGAGAGTCTTAGAGAGAGACAGAGAGAGGGTGTATGAGGGAGAGAGGGTGAAAGAGGTAGAGAGAGAGGGTTAAAGAAAGAGACAGAAAGAGAGAGATTGAGACGAGGGGGTAAGACAAAAAGAGAGTGAGAGAGGGGGTGAGAAAGAGGGTTAAGAGAGAGAGAGAGGATGAGAGTTGAGTGCAAGAGAGAGAGAAAAGCCTGAAAGAAGATGAAAGAAAGAGGGTGAGAGAGACAGAGGCAGTGAGTGAAAGAGAAAGAGAAAAATGGAGGGGACAGAGGATGAGAGAGTCTTAGAGAGAGACAGAGAGAGGGTGTATGAGAGAGAGAGGGTTAAAGAAAGAGACAGAAAGAGAGAGATTAAGAGGGGGTGTGAGAGAGAGAGAGAGAGAGAGAGACGAGGGGGTAAGACAAAAAGAGAGTGAGAGAGGGGGTGAGAAAGAGGGTTAAGAGAGAGAGAGGATGAGAGTTGAGTGCAAGAGTAGAGAGAAAAGCCTGAAAGAAGATGAAAGAAAGATGGTGAGAGAGACAGAGAGATGGAAAAGAGAGACAGAAAGAGTGTGTGAGAGCGAAAGAGAGTGAAAGACGTAGAGAGAGGATTAAAGAAAGAGAGACAGCGAGAAAGAAAGAGGACGAGAGAGGTAGTAAACATGCTCGTACCGTGAGCGACCCAGCCGTGCTTGCACTGGTCACATGTCCGCAGGTGAATCTTTCCTGGTTGGAAACACTCACACGAGCAGTTCACCAGTGTGCACCGAATGGCCTGGAAACAGAAGAGAGAAAAGAGGCAGGTCAGTCCGGAGTCCAGCCATAGAAATATGTTACAATAAAACTGAACGGACACACATAAAACATCGCTCTGAGGCCTCTACCCTTTTAAAATACCTCTTTGAGTCCAGCTGAATTCTGATTGGTCCATTGTTTATCAAGTTATTTCATTGGGCTAGACTTTACTGGTTGGAAATTGACAACAGCCACCGAGGAATTACAGCACTTAATTTATCAACAAATTCCACTTTTGAATCATTCTAAACAGGGGCGTCGACAGGGGAGGGGCAAATGGGTCTGTTGTCCGGGGGCCCAGAACTGAAACCTCTGTCTAGTCATTTATATTAGGGGGGCCCATGTAAGTAAATAAGTAAAGTTTATTTACATAGCGCTTTTTACAGACAAAGGTCACAAAATATGTCACATACAAAAAATAAAAGATAAAATGTATGTCCCGGGCCTTCAAATTTACATATGTGTGATCTAATTTTATTTTAGAATATCAGATGTGTTAAAATCTCAAAAATAATAGTGAAAAAAGCAATAATCATAGCAATAATTTGACTTAAAACTTGAGTATGACTTATGTACAGTTTGTTGCATTGTTCTCCCATTGACTAAAAGTGACGGTCAGGGTTCCCACTCTTTTTCACAACATTTTTAAAGTTTTTCACAACCTAAAGTGAATTTTCCATGACTTTTTTTTTGTAAAATGGAGCATACATTTAGGGCAGGGGTGTCCAAACTTTTTTCATCAAGGGCCACACAGACAAAGCAGAGGGCAGATCGAGGGCCGTAAACTGACGCTCAATACAGTGAATGAATGAAATATGTGCAGGTTTAACATGTTAGAATGAGCCATCAGTCCTTTATTCATGCTAAGATCATTAAAACCACACGCTAAATATTAAATTAAATAGATTTTCAAAAAACTTGCAGTAAAAAGTTCATTTTTAATTAATGCAAGGTCATTTGGGCAATTCACCTGGAAGACTGAGGGCCAAGAAAAATTTGTCTGAGGGCCGCATTTAGCCCAGGGGCCATCATTTGTACATGCCTGATTTAGAGATAAATGTGAAATGTTAACCCTTTCCGCTCACTTTATAGTTTGGTATTATAGTTTTTTAACGTTCAAAATACTGTCAGTGCATTTATTGTCGTCTTTTTTAAACAAAAAGCGCATACGTTTGGAAATAATCATAATAGCCCCATGATAACTTAACAGAACGATGCAGTTGCGTGAAAGAGATTTTAAAATTCTATAACTTTTCCAGGATTTCCATGACCTTGGGAAGCCTGGACCGTGCTGCTGTCTTGACCAGACTTAAAAAAGACATTTGTAAACTAGAATTTTCATGATAAAATGTAGTTAAAGAAGAAAAAAAGTGAAGAAATGAAATCAAAATCAATCACAACCTTACGATAAACTTAAAAACGCTGACAAAAACATATGAGAACGCGGAACCGGCTTCAAAGAACGCCACGTCCAATGAACGATATCAGCGATGAAACTGCGAAATCATTTTCAAATTATTCCATCAACGGCTCCGTTTCGCTTTTTTCCCCCCGTAATCTCCATAGTGTGACTGTACAAAGCACTTGTGTAACCTGTTTTGACTGCCGCTCTATTACTCCACACGGTCTCCGCTGCACTCGGCCTGACCCCCGAAGCTTTTAGTAGCCCCGCGCCAACCGTCCAGACGTCGACACGGCCCGCGCCTTTAGCCGTAAACCACGAACCACCGAAAACACAGGTAAAAGTCAGCGCGGGTCTTGTGTCTGTATATGGACGTGTGCAGAAGAAGAACGCGTGATATACTGCCTCAACTCCATCATTCAAATGAGCCCCAGGCAGCTGCAAGCCATAAATATCCCAACTGAGGACTAAGGAGTAGAAAGATATTTAAAAACATGAATCTTAATCTACAATGGCAGTTCTTTTGTTTACCAGACACTTTTTTTTATCGCGATCAAGATGAATTGGTGATTGAGGATAGTACAACACTCCAGCTATAGCCCGGGCTGCCCAAAGGGAACTGAAGCAGGACCGGAGGAACGCGCAATGCTTTTCATCTATTCTCAAGTCAAATATTACGTTCCTCTGAGATAAATACGGGATCCGGCGATGTTGGCCACGCAGACATTAAAGCTAATATCTTGGCGCAATAAAGAGTAGGACTGAGTATTTCTTAAAGGACCCGTGTTAGATTATTTTCTGATTTATGTTGTAATGTTTCCTCATCGAAAACATACGTGGAGTTGTGTTTCGTTTCATTCACGTAGGTTTAACGCACAAACCCTGCATGTTTAGGCTGAATTCTTCGTCTCTAAACGCGGAAAATGAAGTTCCACCTTGTGAAATCATGTGCCACTGTGTTTTTAAAGTGGTTTTAAACAAGCTGACTACATGTTTTCAGTTTATAAAGAACAAAATCTATCAATCTGGAGCATTTAACTACCCCCACGACTTGTAATCTTTGTGTATATTGTTATCCGTTTTCTTTGCAAAAAGTTTTTAAACTCCATACACCTTCACTAGAATCATTTGGATAATTTCAGCCGTGGAATTGCCAAACTCTACTAATAAACGTAAAAGGAGGTGTAACTTGAAAGCTATTTCTTCATGACATCACAAGGTGGAACAGAGCATTTTGAGCTTTGGAGATGTAAGTTATGTTTATATGACGACGGTCTGAACAGAAGATGCAAAAGTGGCATCGCGTTTTCACTTTTTATTAAGACGAGCGTTTTCGGGAGGAAATCTGCATGCATAATGTGTGTGGAATTCGATTGTGCATGCATGCCAGGCGGCGAGGTGGCGATGCATGTGACGTAAACGCGTACGCGACGTGAGCAGATCTGACCAGAGTTTTGCGTCTTGGGCAGTGTAGACGGAAACGCTACGACGGAGCGTGTTCAACTTTTAGACTCTGGGGCGTGGTTTCAGATTTCTGCGTTTTTAAGCCGCCAAAAACGCCGTCACCGTCTAAACGAAAGGCATTTCTGATAAAATATTTCATCCTTTTTACCCGCAAGTGTTCTCATGTAAACAGGCCCATAGACAAAATTAAAAAACAGGATTACTCAAACATGTGTGAATGAAACAAAGCACAACTCTAAGTATGTTTTTGATGACATTATAACATTATATTGTGGCTTAAATCACTCAAGAGTCAATTTTGTGTAATACAGGACCTTTAAGACAAATTTGTGATCCGCAGATGTTAGACACGCAGACTACAGAGGTAATAAATTGGCATAATAAGGAGCTAAATGTGATATATAGTGTTATAGCGCATTAAAAACACTAGTGAGTCAATGCGAAATAACTGAGACATAATGTGAACGATGGTGCAGTAATGATTTTTAGAATGTTTGAAAAATGGTGCAAGCTGGCAGTGGCTTTGTGTCAGTATCAAAAGAATTATTGACGTGAGTTCTCGCTAAGTTAAACTGTGAACGTATAAGCTATGTGTCATTAAAAGCAGAAATAAATGCTTTCTAATTGTTTCAATGTTTCTTTGAAAATGCCGTTTTGGTAGAGGGTGAAAAACATGACATAAAAATGAAAAATCAGGTCAGTTTGTGTCAAAAGTGCCACGTTGAGATTATGTAAAAGGACGCAATCTTTATCAAGCTTAAATAAAAAGTTTAAAGAGAAAGAGAATAGTAATTTTTATTTTCTGTAATCACCAAAACAAAATCATTCTTCTTTGTTACCGTGAACAAACAACTCAACTTCTTTCTTATCAACAATAATGCACATTGCCCTCGTATGTATTTGTATTTATTTTGACCTCCATTAACTGTGAAAACAAAGTGTCATATTGATGAGAACACTGATATCTCTGGCCCCAGTGATAGTATTGCCTTACCCGTGGACCGCAGTGCCATAGAAAGTGTCTCTTATCAGTCTTTATGTATTTACAGTCAGCTCCAAAGGCACCTGTCCACTGTATCTCACTGCGTCTCTGCACCACCAGCGACAACGATGTGACAGACGCGATCTCGCGAGGTCAAAGGCCGAAGTCCGTTTGTCTGGCAACTGCTGGAGTTTCTCAAGAGCGGTTGTCGATATCAGGAAACAAGGGCTTTACCGACAACATTCTCCAAAACAGTATTTCTTAAGGATTTGAACAGTATTTTGTCATAAAAGTGGCCACGTTACGCAATTTTCTGATCTATGTTGTAACGTTTCCTTATCCAAAACATGCCTGGACTTGTTTTGTTTCACTCATACATGTTTAACACCTATAAAACCTGCATATTTAGAGTTCTTCTCGTGTCAAGTGGTAATACAAGAGGTGCTTCACTGTGTTTTTAAACTCCATACACCTTCACTAGAGTCATTTGGATAATGTCTGACCTGGAATCGCCGATCTCTACCAAACTAAATGTAAAAAAGTAACTACTAACTTGAAAACTAGCACTAGATGACATCACAAGGTGGAACAGAGCCTTTTGAGCTTTAGAGATGTACATAGACTAAGACTAAAGGGTTGTGTGAATGAAACAAAACACAACTCCAGGTTTGTTTTTCATGTCTAAAGGTTATTTTTATATGATGATGGTCTGAACAGAAGACGTAACAGTGGCGTCGCGTCTTCGCTTTTTATTTTGCATTTAGATGGAAGGAAATCTGCGCACATGCAGTGACGCAAAAGTGTGTGGAATTCCATTGGGTATGCATGTACTTAAAGTAACAAGGGCATCTTTGGATATGCAGAAGTTTTCACGCCACATATTTTCATCAGCTCCTCCTTCCACAAAGTCGTCGCCTTTGTTGACGAAATGGTGCATCCAGAATTTGACAGACGTAATTGCAGATCCTTCTCTGTTCACTAATAGTATCTCTGCAGATTCTGTACATTTGTTGGGACATTTGTTTCTGTGTACTGTGTGTATGTGACGTAAACGCGTATCTGACGTGAGCAGATCTGACCAGAGTTTTGCGTCTTGGGCAGTGTAGACTGAAACACTACAGCGGAGCGTATT